ACTTCTCTATTTGGCAAACTCTTATTAACTTCATTAACTCATACAACATTCAGCTTACTTTTCATAAAGTTATTGCACACCAAGATGATCTATTTAATAATCTTGCTAACCAACTTGTCTGTTGTCACCAAATTCTATCCTTTTTAATATTCTTAACCAACAACCCTTACAATCCTGCCTATACTTTATTTATTGACCAATTTTCTATTAAAATTCCTATTCGACACTCCATTCATACTATCTGTCAAGCTCATATCATAACACTTTAGACATCCCAACATCATTTCCAATAATGGTCTACTATTGCTCCTAACATAAACTAGAAAGCCACTTGGCTTTATATTAATAATAATTAAAAGGTTTCTAACTTTGCATATAGTTTTCATTCTTCTACTCTTAAAATCTTTCATGTTAAAATTCTTCTGGATAAACTATCTGTTTCTCATACTTTTCACAAATGTAACTCCTCTTATTCTCCTTTCTGTCACTAATGCAATCAAACTAGCTTCTCATTATACTGGACTCTTTGTTCTTCTACTCAAACAATTTATCACTTAATCTCTAATTCTTTTAATTGCATCTTAAATACTACTACTCTTGACATGTTCTCCAATCTTGTTTCTAATTTATACCAAGAAATTCTTACACTTAATTGTTTTAAACTACATAACTTTTCTTATATACCATCCCTTATTTCTATCTTATCTGGCTTAGTTTCCATTAACCTTATTTCTACTATTTACAATACTTCTATTCTTTATCGTATAACTACCTCACTTTCTATTAAATTTCTTCTTTATTTAAACCAACAAATATACAAACAAATATGGATTCCATATTGTATTTCATGATTAGCACAGTCTTCAACTACACCTTCTACAAACTCAACTCATAATTCTCCTTCTAGTCAATCACTACCTCCTATCTCAATACCACAAATTATTACTAAAATTGATCTTTGGACTATCCAATAGATTAAATATCATACCTCTCTCTCATATATTATTACTAACACCTAAATCTAGATGAGCCTTGGCCACTCTTGTAAGTTTAGGTCACAGATTATATGTTTGAGTTTTTATTCTTCATATGTAATTTAAAAGCAAGCTTTTCTTTGTAAAAACTTTAATTGAATTTTAATAAAGTTAAAAACATGGCCTTATTATTAATATTAAAAAAAAATATCTTATAAAATTTTAATCAAAAAATATTTTGAAGTCTATTTTTTTATAATAATTTTTATTATATATAATAATTCTATAAAAAAATAAAGTATTTATATTAAATATAAATATATAAACTAAAAAAAAAAATTTTTAAAAAAAATTTTTAAGAAGCAAAATTGATGATTATTGATCTCAAATTTGATTGGTTAATTATATAGATTCACTATAGAGATAAGTCACCAATTTATTTTTTTTTTTGTATAATTATATATCAACTTTGTTATTTTATTTATCTTTGTTATAGTTTTTAATCTTAATTAGCTTTATCTATATATTTTTTGTTTTAATAAAACTAATACTTTTTATTATTTATATAATAATTTTTTTAAAAAAATTTTGTTTCTATTAGTATATTATAAATTTCTATTAAAATTTTTATTATAGTATTACTGATTATATATATTTTTATTTGCTTTACTTTATTATTATTAGTTTTGTTATTGTTAATATTAGTCATTTTTTAAATTTAGTATTACCTTTTTTTTAACTAATTTTATATATTACTTGTTTAAATTTATTTTATACTTATATTTTTACTTAATATTATTTTTTTGATCTTTATATTTATTGTATTATTTATATATATTATATACTTATTTTTGTTTTTTATTATATTTTTTAATATTTATACTATTTCTTAACTAATATTTTTCTTTAATCTTTGCTTTTTAGTTATTTTTATTTTTATTTTTTCTAATATTTCAAGTTCTTTAAAGTTTTTTCTTTGTCTTTTAACTTTTATGTTTTTATTTTTTCTATAAGTTGGTTGATAATTATTTTAATTTGTTATTTTTTCTATTAAAAATTTTAGAATTATATTAACTTTACTATTTACTCTTATTAAAAGTTAATAATTTTTTTTTATTTGCTCTTCTTCTACATAGCTATTATATTTACTAATCACATTTGCTAGTTTATTTTTTTACTTTAAATTTGTTAATATTTTACTAAATTTTTTTTTTTTTAACTATTTTTTATTTATTATTTTATTTTCTTTATTTTTATTTTTTAATATTATTTATATACAAACTACATATTGTTTTTTTTTTGATATTAAGATGACCTCTTTAGTCTTTTGATTTTTTATTAATATTTTTTTTTTTGATAATATAATTCAATGAATTACTACAAAAAAGCATACAATTAGCTACCTATATAACTTTTCTATATTATTTATTTAAAGAGTCTGCCTAAAGGTTCTTTACTAATTGTTGTATCTAACATTCCTGTTTGAATGTTCTGTTTTAAACTTACTGAATCTGTAATCTGTATTAGCATTATTGGGTCATACCCAGATATCCAAATCATTATTTCAATCTTAGAACTATTTTATCTTCAAAGTAAATCTCTCAAAGCCTTTTGTATTTATTTTTATAACTAATCTAGTATTGTTATGACAAAACTAACACTTGTAATTAAAGTTATATCATTTAACTACTATGTTTTTGTAGAGTTCACTCAAACCTCAGCATCTATTTCATAGCATAATCCTAGTACTTTAGTATATCTTTGTCTTTTCACTAAACTTCTAGTCCAAATAATCTGTATAGAACTATAACTAATTTATTGGTATATTAGATCAACATAATATCTTTTTCTTTTGGTTTATTATAGTAGTCTGATTGGAAATATTTTTTGAAATTTCTAACTTTAAGATTCTTGTCTGTCTGAGTACTATAACTTTGATATCTATTTTCTTGAACTAGCTTTTATAATAGAACTGTCAAAGATCCAACTACCTTTCTACTTGGGTTTTTTCAAATAAACTTTTTGTTATCTAATTTTAATAGATTTACATAGTTACAAGAACTTATCTAATGTTTGCACTACCTAATTTTCAGTTTGCATTCTTTTGTGTAATATCATATTTACACAGATACTCTATGACCTACCAGTCATGCTAGTGTGACTGCTATTACAGATATCCTAACTCAATTATTAGTAACAGTTGCTGTAATATGAAAATTACATAGGTAATTATCTAAATTTTTACTATTAATGAAATTTAAATATCCAACTTACTACTTGGAAGATTAACAATCTGATTACTTCACTAGGTCACCAAACTCCTCAAACTACATATTGTTTTATATTACAATTATATTATGTAATATATATTTAAATATTTTGTTTACAAAAATAAAAGGTATTAATAGCAAAAATAAATAATATAAATAGTAATTTTCTAATTTTATTTTATATTTAGTAATAGTATTTAAGTTAAATTTTTTTTAAAAGTTTTTGAAAATTTAAAATTATATATAATTTATTTTACTGAATAAATTTTATATGATTTTTAAAATTACTATTTTTGTACATATATAATATTATACAAAATTATATAATAATAATTATTTCAAAAAGTATTATATAACATTTTATTATCTTTTTTTTATTTAAAAATTATAGATTTAATTTTATTGTTAACTTAATATCTTATTAACTAAGCTTTATATAAATTTTTAAAAAGTATATATAATAATATGCTACCTTCCTGTAGTTTAATAATAATAAAAAAACAAAAAAAAAACAAAAATAAAGATGGTAATTGCTGTAACATTAATCTTAACAAAAATAAAATAAAATATAATAATAATAATACTATATAAAACCTTTTTTCAGCATATTATTTATACTATGTAAAACAGTTTATGATATTTTACTATTACAGATATTATAAAAATTTCTAAATTAATATCAAAATAAAGAAAAACCATTTTTTATAAAAAAATGCGATATTCTTTTATATATAGTTACCGATTCATACTAATTGTTGCAGCTGATATTGAGAATTAAACCTATTTTAACAGGAAATTTTAAACATTTTTCTTGTGCCTTTTTTTTTTAGTTTCTCTTTTAGAATTATTAATAAAATAGCATATACAAACTTTTAGTAAGTTTAAAAGATTTAAATAAAATTCCAAGCATCGGGTATCAGCCGACCTTAGCATCAGCCATGAAGCTAATTATTGTTCAATTTAAAAGGATTTATTTGTTTCATAGCAATTTTGTGATTATATATAGTTTTGTGTATGATTGATATACTGTATTTATAAAATTAGTAAATTAAAATTTTCAATATTTAAGTTCGTTCTTTATATTAGGTATTTTGGTCGATATAGTCTAACTTAAAACGGAGCTTTCTTGATAGTCAATTTTTACTGAAGCCAGTCGTTCAGTTTAAGTTTTTATGTTACCAACAAGAAATTTCGTTGTCTGATCGAATCCACCCAAAACTTAATTGATTAAATTACATCGTCTTTGAAATGTAACATTAAAGATCACCAAATGGTGTATTAGTACTTATAATCTATCCACTAAATCTAAGAGATAAAAATGAAAACGTTATTTGCTATTGAACACACTCCATCACAGATATCACTTGTCTCTACTAATATTTAAGAGACAACTGAAATTGCTATGTTATTGAACACGCTGCATCATGTCCTGATAAAAATTCGAATCGAAAAGACTACTTTATAACCATAAGCAAAATGAAAAATTATCTCTTATAAATGATAGCAAGCTATTTGTTAAAAGCTATTTGTAAAAAACTATTTGTAAATTAACAATGTAAACATTTTTCATTCTTTATATATAACATTTATTCAAAGACAATAATGATAAATGTATAAATAAATAATCCTATCTATTACCTATTCGTTTTTTTTTTTTTCTTTTTTTTACAAATTTTTTATGATTTTTTCTTTATTCAAAGTCCAAGAAATGGAAAGTTTAATCTTCCAATATTGTAAATCCTCTCCATTATGCTGATGTACCCAAGTTAATTCCGGATATTCATTTTCAAGACGTTCTTTAATTATATCCTTATATAGGGTCATTATATTGTATGCATAACGTTTTGTGTCTAAAAATACATCAGATAAATTATTTTCATCTAATAAAGCATGAACAGTAGCTTGTCCATTACTAAGAAAAAGTACATCAATATCTGTTTTAAAGGAAGATTCTTTCAAATAACTTTCTACAACTTTACTAATTAATTGATTGAATGCGTTAATTAAATTTCTAATTTTTGTAATTGCAATTTTATCAATAGATGTTGGACGTGGAATTTGAAAAAAGTCCAGTTCGATTTCTATTTCTTTTGGTGTTATTGATACTGAATCTACTAAAAATAATATTTAAAAATTATATTAATCTTTTTTTTTTTTTTAAAACAAAAAAAATTCAATAACTTGAAAAAAATTTCTTACATTGATTTTCAAGATTTAATTTTCCTGTTCGATAAAATTGCATAACATAATGAAAGATTTGTCCGGAACGATCAAAGAAATATTCATTACCATTCCTTGGAATTAATAATGACCTATTTCTTTTCTGAAACATTGTTCCGAGAAATGTATCAGGGTATGCAGTGAGCGTAGATTGATATGTTTCATACTGTTAAAGAAAAATAATAAAATCTTTAGAAAAAAAAAAGATTTTAAAATAATAATAATAATAGATCTAAAAAGAATAACAACAATAATTTCATACTTTAATACCACCAACGTTCAAAATGATAGTTTCATCTGAACATTCATCATTTAATTGTTCATCAGTTATATTATTAGTTTCACCCATTTTTTCGAAAACATAAGAATGAAAAATTAAATATTAACACGTTTGGGCATAAAATAAAGTGATTCTGTCGATATAATAATAAATTTGTTCTGCGTTGCACGAACTGCAAAAAAATGATTGGATTATTGGCTGTAAATACGTGAGTACATATGTAACAGACCTAAACTTGTTTTTTCTTTCTTGTAATACTATATTTATGCTGCATTGGGGTGTCTCATTGATGTTTGGTTTAATTACATAACGATAGGCAAGTAACATAGTGATAATCACTTAGCTATATATGAAAAATTTCAAATTGTAGCATCTCTTAAACGGTAAATATACATAAATAAAATTACATTTATCGATTTTTTTCTAATGTTCTCTTTTAAAATGATATATGCTAAAAAAAATTAAGTAAAGGGGGTCTGTCATTAAAAACTTACTAAACAAGAAATCTAATAAATGTACTGTTGTTAATTTATATATATCACTATTCAGAGATATCGCGCTAATTATTATTGATAGAGATTCGACCGATTTGTATATTATAATAAAAAAAAAACCTATATCGAAATACATAATTAATAAATAGAGCAATGAGCTGATTTGCACTGAATTATTAGGGATCACCACTAATTATCTGCACTATACGTACTTGCCAGTACCAAGCCTATAAAACTACTAACGCAAAAAAGATAATCCTATCGCTATATAATTATGTAAATTACATCTGTATGTATAACGCTAAGATTATTTTATTCATATATTGGACTGACCCAGTCTCAAATAAGACCAGTCCATGGATCAACAAGTGATGGTGTAATTTTTTTTTGATGTTTTTTTGACGTTACATATTAAATAAATTTAACTAATTATTTTAACTATATCATGAAGACCAGAAACCGAATAACTGTGTAATATTCAAACATGGTGACACTCAGGATAGATTCGATAGTAAATTAGCTACATTTTTTTAGGGTTAAATTTCCGGTAATTTTATAACCTAGGTGACACTCATTTCGGGTTTGGACGTCCGTTTTTTTTGGATGGGAATGCAAAAGTAGAAATGTCCCAAAAGATGCGCGATCCGAAAATCATGTCAATTTAGGGAAGCGGTTCTGAGATCAAAATATATATTTCAATAAAGTATAATTTCCTCTAATTCTATTCCAATGACGATGTTGAATGGATATACTTTCTAGAAATGTTTTCTAAGTTCAAAATTTAATTTCGAATTTTTGTCGTTTAACTTATATCTTTATGAGATTGGTATTGGAACAATCAAGATTATAATACAGTAGCGCTATAATTCAACAGATATATGAGTTTCCTTGGCCTTGAATCGTTTATTAACTTTTATTTTATGCTTATTAGATAAGTAGAAGTCTGAAAACCTTTATTCAAGGCGAAAAAGAAATCTTAAATATTATATATTCTAATATCGTCGAAGTTACTTATTTTATGCTAATGTCAGAATCACCCTCCTCCGTGGATTTATCCTTTTAAATACTAATTCCTTCTTCATTCTTCTGAAAAATTTGATCATTAATATCACGACTTTAAGTGTCTTCTTTCATGGGTAACATTTTTCTTTTCCGTACACATTCACCTTTACCACTAATATTTATTCTGACTTTCACGTCCTTGCTTCAAATTATTGAGGAATAGTGTCTTTCACCAAACACTTACAAGTGCTTGACCTTGCGTTACTCCAGCTTCAGGATAATTAATATAGGATATAAAGAGATAACATGGGAAATGGTAATACATTGGAAATGCAAACGAGTGGTTAAAAGTTTAGCCGTGTAACGTTGGAATTTCATCGAAGTGGGTATGCGATCGCCGATTCCGAAGAAAAGGTTTAATATTTTAGGGGTAGAGGTAACACCGTACTGGCACATGGACTAACTATGTCGGCTACATTGATTACTTTTATTAAGTTTAATAACCATCAGTAACAGTAAAAATTAAACTAATTAATCGAATTTTACTTAATTATAAAATTGTAACGCTAAAAAGGTTCACATAAATGTAGTGTAATTTCTTTTGGTTAGAAACTCCTCATAGGAACTAATTCAAAGTAACTATGTTCGATTTTTCGCTAAGGTTCTAATTAAATTTCGATTTATATTTTATAAGTAATTTTATGCCTCAATTTAAAATATCGATTATAATAGATTAATTGTAATTCTTTGAGTTTAACAAAACTTGAAATCAAAAAGCGTCAACAATAAACAAAACTTATAAATGATCTATTTCAATCAAGGAAAAAAACCTTGATAATAATAATAATAATCGCAAAAAAGCCAATAAATTTGTCGGTCGACTATTGTTACGTAAAGAGTTTTGATTTGCATTCGTGTAACATAAAAAATCTGCGATATGATAAATTATTTACAAGAGTTAGATAACATACCTGATACGTAATTAATCAACATAGTTAACTAAATAGTTTTTTTGATCAATTAGTCCGTGTGACACTCAATACTGTACTGTCGTGTACATTGGCCGATCAAATATTTAAGATATTTTTTGCGTATTGTACATACATACTTGCGGTGGTATAACTCGACCTTTCAATTATCCTTATCCAGTTACAAATCATGTCAACTTCTATTCCACCCGAAATTTTTCAAAATATCTTTAAAGATCTTGATACGGATTCATTATATTCAGTTATTCTGGTTAATCGTATATGGTGTTCTAATGCAATTTCTATTCTTTGGCAAAACCCATTAGAAATTTTATATCAAAATGATGATAGTGAATATTTTGAAACAAATGTTAAATCAGTTATAAAAACTTATATTTCTTGTCTTCCAAAAGAATCTAAACTTATGTTATCTTTCACTGATTTATGTATTGACTTATTAACATCATCAATTCCAACTTTTAATTACCCTTCATTTTTACTTACTTTAAATTATGTTTTATTATCTGATTCTGTATATAGAATCGTTATAGATAATGCTAATGTGATGATGGTTCTAATTTTATTATGCAAATTATTCTTTGACAAAGGTTTTCACATTAAATCCTTTGAGCTTAGTACTCATATGATAAATAATTATATGGGTTCACATTTCAAGACAATATATATGAATTTAAGAGAAATACCTGGTGCAGATAATTTTCTTTCAAGAATACAAAGATTATGTTGGCGAGGTAAAAAAAAAAAAAAATACAAAAAAATAAAAAAAAATAAAATACATTTTATTCTATTATTTATGTACAAATAAACATTCTTTCAACTTTACTATAGATGATGCACCACTTTGCCTTTCCTCAATAGCCGAAATAGCAAAAGAAATCCGTGTTTTAGATATTTTATTGGAATCTGGATATGAGAATGAACATAGTAGTAATGAGTTATTTACATTGATAAATGCTCAAGTTAATTTACAACAGATCACAATAACATCTTTAAAAAAGACGATAAAAGCCATCTCGGCACTTCGGTCTAAATCTAATACACTTCGAAAGATCTTTATAAAAGGAATTGTTTCCTTTTCATTGGATTTCTTTTATGAATGTTCAAATCTTGAAGAATTATCTTTATTATATAATGAATCACATCTACTTACGAATCCTCAAATTTCCAGACAACTTCGATCTGAAATCCAAGGTTACATACAAACTGGAATTATGGATCGTACTCAAATGTTACCATCTGCACAAATGGTTTCCGCTATTCGTAGAACGGTGACAAGCATACAAGAAACAATGGTTCCTAGAATTCAAGCAAAAACAGAATCTTTATATTCTTCTAAAATGAATACAACAACATCATTTGGTTCTAATTATTCAAATCTATCTAAACTTACTGTATTTGAAATCAATCTTGATAGTTTTCAAACTACGGAACAAGTGATTGATATAATTCAATGTAATAAGGGTGGTCTTCGTGAATTACGTGTTCAAAAAACCGCACCGATATCTGTTGATCATTTAAAGCAATTATTCTTGATGGTTATTAATCATTGTCCAAATCTTATTCATGTCACGTTATGTATTCCAAACATAGCAATATCTGAAATTTCAAATCTTTTTAAAAGATGTTTATTGCTTGAAGAAGTTTATTTACGAGCAATAAAAACAATGGATATTAGTAAAATCCTTGATGAAATGAAATTGGAAGTTCCAATTCATTTAAAATCTCTTAGTTTAGGATTATATAGTTGGAAATATTCGTTTGAAGCTATTAATGGATTCTTGAATGAATGTGAATTAAGAGTAAATAAGAAACCTATTAGGTTTTTGTATAGCAATAATTTGACTAAGGATGTTATTGATGTGCTCAAGTTTTATGAATTAAAAGGGACATTAGATTTAGTAGAAAAGAAATTATGGTCTACATAGGTTGATGAAAATGTGAGTTTAAATTTTAGAGTTTAGATAGTTATACTACGTATCTAATATTATAATTACTTATATAGATTTTTTTTTTTCAGTATTATGATTTTTATTATATACACGATATCAACATGATATCAAAATTTTATTTTCTTTACACATGAACTACTTAGATATATAATTGCATTGTAAAAAAAAATAATACATTATTATTTCATTTTATTTCATGAATGCAATTCTTTTTTTTTTGTTTTGAATTATCAACATTATGACGTTACATCACAACATTAAACAAGGAAACACCAAAAATAAAGATAACCATTGAAGCCATATTAAACACAGAAAGATTATTTGAAGAAGACGATAAATCATCCATATTTGAGTCAGGTGAAGAGTTAGCCTTAGTACAATGAGATGAAGAACAACTTTCCGTTGATGAAGATTGTGGAAATATAAGGCTTGGCCGGTAAGGATTTGGATTATTTGGTGTAGGATATCTAAAAGAAAATAAAATAGCCAAAATAAATCTTTAATATGATAAATATTTAATATAATGAAAATTAATATAATAAATATTTAATATAATATAATGAATCTTTAATATAAAATAAACCTTAATGTAATGTCACTTTGTTTCATAATAATTACTTGTAAAAAAAGAAAGAAAGAAAGAAAGATACACACCCCAACGTTTCCAAAATAGCCAATGTTCTTGGACCGATAGCTTTCTCTTTACCACCTTTACTACCACTTGCATTAATAGAATCTTCAAGAGTCCTTCCAGGTAATTGTTCAAAGGTCATTAAAAAATCACTAGAATTAAATAATTTTTCATCTATGTGACTTAAACTAGCACCGCCTCGAAAAGGATTTATACCAGTCTCTAATATTACAGCATTATTGTTTATATTAGAGGTATTGGATAAAAATCCTATAGAATTAGATTTAATACATGTTTTATACATTTGTTTTGCTATATTAAATTGTGGTGAAGATTTAAACTTTTCGTTAAATTCGTTAATTGAAGTAAATTTTCTATCTTGACCATCCCGAAATTTATCAAGTTCTGATGTTAATTCAGTTGTATGCGTTCTATTTGACGTTAAAATCATATATTTATCAAAAGCATTTTCTATAAATCCACGAAAGATCAATATAGATTTACTTTCTATATTATCACCAACATTAGAAACAATACCATCAATATTAGGAGTAAGGAAAGATGAACTTTCTTCAAGATAATCATTACTCCAACTAGAAAGAAAACCAAGTCCATGAGTCAATTCATGTAATACGAGTTCTTCAAAACCAGTTTGATTTGGTTGAATTGGAGGATCGCCTTCGAACCAAAATGGAATATTTGAATTAAAATCTGCCAATATATCGACTGATGAATATTCAGGATGAACTTCTAATTGAAACTGTTTTGCGAGAGATTGTGCATATAAACGGATTTTTCCATCATCATCCCTGAAAGGAATTGTTCGGGATGGACCTGCCGCTCCTATATCATAAAAATAACATTAATAAGATTAATAAATGAAATCAATTAATGAAATAAATTAATGAAATAAATTAATGAAATAAATTAATGAAATTAATGAAATTGAAAGATAATTTTATATACCTAATAAATTCCCTTCTAAAGGTCTAAAAGTAGCATTTAAACCAATTTTTGTATTAAGCGATAATACAGAACTTAAAATCCTTCCAGCCGATTCGAATGTTGATTTGGCCTTCTTGCACATTTTCTCGTCATTTAAATTACAATTAAATGTTAAATCAAACATATTTTTTGATTCGTCTTCTAAGTTATTATTATCGCGAACCTCAATTTTATTTGATCTAACATGAGGACATGGTACAAGAATTTTATCTCTTAGATTAAGAGGATTTAAATAATCAATGCATTGAAGACTAGCATAAATTTTGGTGATTATAATGAATGATAAGTAAATAAAGAAATAAGTTGCAGTAAAAGAGATCTTTTTCATGATTTTTAATAGTTTTTTTTTCAACGTAAAGAAAATAAAACCCAAGTCCAGCGAGGGATTATAAAGGAATTTTTTAAACCTTAACGCGTTTTAAAATAATAATCGAAATGAAATTCTCTCTATCTTTGCTCATAAATTTTCACATGTTAATATTTTTGAAAGAAACATTTTGATTTTTTTTAACACAAACGAATTAAATATTCACGACGCCATAGGTTTTACACCACCTTGGGAGATTATGAAGTCTTGAATCATCTTTTATTATAATATAGATAAGAAAATTTTGTTATTACTGCCGGTTCGCATATTTCTTTAAAAGGTTAATTATAATGTAGGTGCTTGGTCTAAGCATCCATAGTTTTCTACGTACATATCTAAATGGACTAAATAAAATTGAGATCTTATTTAAGTCATTTAATCATGTTTTACGTATTGTGATTCTCTTCATTTTCATTTCCGGGATCGGAATATATTAACATGATAATAGGTTGATTTACAATTTTGCCAAGTGTGGATTCATGCTAGTATTTCGGTCTGTGTAATTTCATATGCATTTAGACATGCACACTGATAATTGATCATTTATGTGCAATTACGATTAATTTGAAGAAATGAAACGGTTTATGCATGTTTCATGTTTTTTTGATGAGTTCACGTGACTTCACACAAAACATTCTTGAGGTGTAACATAGTACATTATTTCTTAAAGAAGTTACGATAACCCCTTCCGCTAGGCGTTTATGTTTCGGATCATAATCATGTAATTGTGTTACGTAAAACCTATACCCTGGTTATATTTTTTATTACTCTCGGAACTTCTTTAATACAGCAACGATTGGTATTTGACTCATTGAATATGTGTCAGTTAATACGTAACTACTTAATGTTAATATATATATATATTCTATTTATCCAATTTAAAGTGAAGATATTAAAATAAAGATATTAAAATTGAAGATAATAATCATAATAATCATAGTAATAATATATATATAAGATTATGTCAGCATTCTTGTAAAGCGTGGCGATTCTATGTCGTACAAACGCACGTATCTATGCGTCAATATATTTTTACATATAGTTACATGAGAAAAAAAAGACCTTGTTTTGAAATTCAAGTAACTGGATTTATTGTTTAAATCTCATAAATAGAAACGTACGTACTTGCATCGGATTCTACCAATGCATACATACTGTATTAATAGTAATGTTATATATTGCTATATGTAAAGTAATCAAACAGGAGCAATATTTTTAAAAGTAATGCTTATATGTCTTTGAGTATACATATAGTACATTAGTACTGTACTTTTTATAAAAGGAAATTTCATTATAAAAAAGGTTATTTACCTACAACTAGCCTTTAACACGAAAAAAAACAAAATGCTATTTTAGTAAATACTCTAATCCTACATATCTTTCGTGTGTCAGTTTGGATCCGAGTTATTGTATAGTACTAATTTGCTTACTTTCTTATGTCTTTGACATGCATACATACATACATACGTAAATTCCAGAGAGTTTGAATTTTTTTTTATATATTCATGAGATTCATTTTCTTGGATTCATTATACATATATTCTTAGTTTTTTATTATTATCATTATTTGTCTTTTTTTGCTCCTTTTTCTTTTTTGGAGCATCAATTTTTTAAAAACGCAATTAGTTATGCATGTGATCAAAAAAGCATTTGTTTCATATGAAAAAATAATTAGCTGAAATGATCGTTACATTTTTGTTATTATGGGTAGCACTTTTACTTGTGTCTGTAGGAATTAAACAAGCTGAAAGCAAGATCTCGAACTTTTCATACATAGAAACAGTAAAATATGGGGAAAATATATTACCTCATGTATGGAACTCGATCGTCTATGATGATGGAACCATAGTTTTACGTATAGTTCGTAAAGATCCTAATTTCAACCAACTTATATTAAATACAACATCAGAAACAATATCAAATATAACTTGTTTTCAAAATTTATTATCATTGAGAGTTTTATATTCCAATGGAACAGTAATTGAACGAGATATTGACTTGGGAATCCAATCACTAAACTATTGTGTTTCTAAAATTGATGTTAATTCTAACCTTTACGACGATCCCATCAAACTTTATGCTCTTGACACTAATTATGTTTTAGTAACTTATTATAATGCTACTAATGAGTTTGATAATTCTACTTACTCATATTGGGGAATGGTCGTGGATTGGAATGGAAATAAATATCGGTTAGAAAGTTTCTTCATTATACGGTAATTGATTAACGCTTTACTTTGTTTCATCTCTCTAAATATTCGTTTTTACCATATCAATATAGTCCAATAAATTTTGGTGCAACGATATTCTCAATGCCAAATAAGAATAGTATCTGTAGAAATATTAATCCAAATAAAGGATTTTTACGACTAAGTATATCCTCCAATGCCATTAAGTGGGGACAATATATCATGTAAATTTTTTTTTAATTTTTCATAATATTAATCTCAATTTTTGGTCCAAAAAAATTTTATTATGATTCATACTAAATATTTTTTATTAGGGCTAACAATGGGAATATAATACAGTTAAATGCAACTGGATCAATTGATATTACGGGTCCTTTTCGTAGTACTTTGTTCGAGGCGATTTCAACAGTAAATGAAGATTACGCTATCATCTTTGGTAGCACTTTTAATTCAACATCTAATTCGTCATCTAATAATTCATCAGATGATTTGACTTCCAGTGGAACACTACGTATTTATCCGTTGGAATATGGAAAAAATAGTACAGGAACTTCTCTTTTACTCTGGCAAACCTCTCTACAAAACTTAACATTTTCATATCTTCGATGTGCTATTTCTAATACTGGTGTAGGTCACATGTGTACAATGACAGTAACACAATCTGTTCAATCTGAAAATGATGGAAATATTTTCACAAATAACATATTTTATATTAAAGTTACTTTCCTTTCTTCGGGTTCTGCTCTTAATTTTACAATTCTGAATCATAATTTACCCAATGGTGTACCAGGAAAGCTTGATCAATTGACCATTAACCCGTTACCAGGTGGTGGATATATGCTTTCTGCTTATACATCTAATACTGCCGGTGTATTATTTTATGGTTATCTTTTTAATGAAACCTTTCAAGATCCAATTTCGTGGGAGCTGTCGATACCTGTTCAATTAAATATTGTTGGTGTATACACTATATTACCAAACAATTCTTTAATTCTAGCATTGAATGAAAGTGTTGATACTTGGAAATTACTTACTGTGGATTTTCCAAATTTGTCAAATTCTCCATGTAACAAATCTCTAGTTTTTTTTTTTTTTTTTTAATGATTTTAAGAATTTTATCAAAATATTTAATTTCAAGTCTTAAAATTTTTTAGATGCATATTCCAATTTAGCAATCGAATCTACTTATCCTTCGACCAATTATAGTATGTTAGACATAACTTCATTATCATACATTAGTGTGACTTTTCTCAGTCCTGTAGAACTTTCTTATGGTAACATATCAATATATCAATTCGATCCTGCTACTGGAAAACAAACACTTCGTCAATCAACTCCAGCAATTTTATGTACTCTCAATAATAATGGTACAACTGTGAAAGTAGATATTTTACCTTGCACTTTTAGTGTGCCTGGTGCTAATTATTATGTCATGTTTGATAATAATTTTGTAAAGAATTATGCCTATAAAGAGCCTCTAAGAGGATTACGTGGTCGTATATGGACATTTAACACTGGTAATTTATAAATTATTTTGAAATAAAATTGGTAAAGTTAAAAAAAAAAAATTTTTTTAGATGTTAATTATTTCTTTTTTTATTAAAACATTGTATAGCATCAAAAGATGATATATACTCAGGTAAAATTCAGCAAAAACATTAATATTCTACAAGTAAATAAATAATATACATGATCAATTTAATAATTTATTTAATCATTTATTTAATCATTTATTTAAATCACTTATTCATAAATATACATAAATATACCAGCTTCCATATCAGGTCTTTTACGCCTGACAGTGAACGGCACAATGTACCTTAACTCACTTGACCAAAATCTTCGAAACCAATTCTTTGACAATTTAACTGCTGAAATTTCCCAAATGATCCCAGTTGAACCAAACCGATTATCAACAAATAGAAAATCTCAAATAGATCCTTCAAATAATATCGTAAACCAAGAATTACTAAACCTTGATATTAAATCAACAAAAGATAATAAACAACCAAGTGTTGTTACTATTATTAGAATTTTAAATAGTTTGATCAAGAATAAAGATTATACCCCAATAATAACAGGTCAAATTACTCAATATTTAGATCCTACATACGGATTTCAAGAATCGCGTAAGTAATACCAAATAATCTTTGATTTCAAATTATACATACAGCATTTTTATTTTATTTACAATTTTTCTTGACAGCTAATTTATGGGAAAAATACATGTTGAGATTTATACTGGTATTTTTGGTCATCTGCGTTCCAATAATTGTTTTCCTTATAGCTAGACGTATAGAAAAAACGGTATTTGATTATAAATATTAATCAAAAATTATATGTAAATCGAAATTATATTATAATAATAATAATCGTTTTTTTTTTCAAAAAAATATAGGGACATAACGTTGTTGTTATACAATTGGGTTTCATTATTTTTGATGTAGTAATAAATTCTCTTTTTGTTGGTAATAATGGTAAAGACGTTATATGGCTTTATATTCCAAGGTAAGATTAAATTCGCAAAGTTTTTTTTTTAGTTCATCAAATTTAACTAATGCAGTTAAATTTGATCTATCAAAAAATAGTGTAATTTTTCTGACTGTTCCAATAGGATTAAATATCATAGTAGCTTATTTAATCATAGACCAAGAAAATCACAATAAAAAATTTTTCACATGGTTTATCAAATTCGGAAAAATTACAGCAATAATTACATTAATCGCAGGTGCAAATATTGAAGCACTTACAGTACTATTTTCAAATGTCGCAGGATTTGCATTTGCTCGAGCACCGTTTAGTTTAAAAGCAAAATCTAGAATTTTTTGGTGGTCTTGTATTACTATATTTATTAAAGATATTCCTCAAATTATTATTCAGGTATTGATATTATTATTGAATACTTTTAATGTTTTCGTCTATTTTCTTAATTTTCTCTAATTTCTTAATTTTCTCTAATTTCTTGATTTTAATTTATTTATTTGGTTTTTTTTTATTTATAGATATTATATCAAAAAAACACAGTAATATATGACATAATACCTCTTTTAACATTAATTACAACCAGTGTGAACTTAGCGATTAATGTGATTAATAAATTATATCAAGGTAAAAACCGATTTAGGCATAAAAATACTGATCACTATCCAGCACCAGATCTACCAAATGATGATAATAATGGTAACGATAATGATAATGATGAAATTATTGAAAATAATATGAACAATTTAAATAATATAAGTAGTTCAAATAATTCAAATACTTCGAATAATTCAAATACTTCGAATAATTCAATTAATTCAATTAATTCAAGTAATTCAAGTAATTCAATTAATTCAGATAATTCAATTAATTCAACACAAAAAGCAACTTCTTCATTATATGGAAATCATTCAAGAGATACAGAAAGTAGGTATAGTAGTTATAATGGTGAATTAAATGTTGTTGATACGAGATATCATGTTGATGAAGCGTATGATGATGACATTATTGAAGTCGTTGATGGGTCTTAAAAAAAAATGTTATATAATAAAAATCATTTATGATATTTAAATATTAAAAAATTTAAAAAACATCTTATATAATTTTAGAGAATGTTTAGAAATGTTTAAAGAATGTTTAAAGTGTGTGAATAAAATTTCAAAAGCTAAAAAAAAATTAAATAAACAATCATTAATAAATCATATCAATATTTTGAATATATATATTTAATATATTTATTTATTTTGATATTCCTCTATATATACATGTATTTTAAAGGCTTGTATAGTCTAAACTAGCAGTGTTCATGGAAAGCTGGAACTTCACTGAATATCTGGATTTTTCTAGCTTCAGTGAGGTTACAATTAGAGCACAAATTCTATTATTAAATGCTGAAAAATTTTTATATTTAATTAAAAACAAAGCAATTGTTGTCTTTTTTAGAATGGAATTGTAGTGTCGGATTCCAATATTCGAATTCCGCTTTTGATTAGTAATATTGATACAGCAGAGACAGTACCTGATCCAAAGTGAATCCCTCTCGCCTGTGATAAATCACAAACTAAATTATTTATGTTGGATCCAATATAATCCCTCACCAGTTTTAATATATGTCTCTGCTGTTTAATATTGATTGCTAACCAAAAGCTGAACAAAGATTAAAAAAAAATTCAAGAAAATCAGCCAAGAATAACAAATTCTTTTATTTATCATTTAATATTTGTTCTAATAAATTTTTTACATTGAAACATATGTTTTCGATTTGTACGTTTACGAAAACAAAAATGTCATTCCTCTTCTGCTATTTCTATGTTTTTCCACGCTGCAATTTTATTTGAGACCATAACCATTCTCGTACTTTTTGGAACGTTCTCGTTTGAATTTGAGAGTGTTAATATTTTCGGCTCATTATTTTGTCTTATTAGTTCGCACTATAAGTCAAAATAAATAATTAGACTAGAAAGGACTCTATCTGTTATATAAACTAAAAAAAAACAATGTACAAGTGACTTATAACTAATATATATAGGAGCTCAAAAACTTCTAAATACATTTCTACACCATCAAATGAGAAGGGAATCCTGGCAGACTTTATCTGAGAAATTTTATAATAATATTTTTTTATCGAGTTGGGGTTTACTCAGAGTAATGCGATCTCCTAACACAAAAAAGATAAATATGATAAGAGAGTTGCTATTTTCACCCCCCATTTTTGCTAATGCTAGGCATTAGCAAAAATGGGGGGTAGAAATAGCAATTCTCATATGATAAATAACATTTGAATTAATGAGGTATATAGTAAATTAGTACAGTACGGAAACGCATCATGATAGTACGTACAATTTTTAAAGCAAAAAATTCTTTCGAAACAAAGCAAATTTTCCTATAACTTCGTACTTTCCCTAACCCTAACCATTAAACAACGGGTTTCTTCTAAAGGATTAGGTCTCCTCTTTCATTTGCCATGATATGTGACGAATTTTCAGTGTGGCGAGTAAATATCTGCTAAATAATTATATTAAATCATGTTTATTAGCCACACCCAATGATTCGTCACATCCTTGCGCCAAATGGATAATGGATATAAAAATTAATCTTGCAAACCGTACGTATTACAAAAGTTTGTACAATCATACAGTACTACCTGAATTGATGCGGTATAACAGTATCGGTATCAGAATCCTCCACACATGTGATTTCCGATCACCCAGGTTTGTGGCGCAGACAAATTAGGGTCAGGGTTAGGAGTTAGAAGAGAATAGTTTATATAGTAAAATCGTCCAACGAAAAGTTTTTTGATAGAGCACAAAAATGGTTCCTTATACTGATGTTAGGTTATGAGAGATTTTTGGCAGAACGAACGTTTGCACTGAATTATTACATTGCACCTAACCACTTACAAGTTTGATCATGATGGACTGACCTGGAATCACGTGCAGGTTGTTCTTACACTGTAGCTATATTTTTCAGTACCAATATATAACATACTACGTACCAGTAGGGATGGGTTCGTGACCGAACCCATCCCTACGTACCAGTACCATGGACCATATATGTTGATATACTTTTAGTGAGCTCCACGCTTTTATCTATTAGACAGAACGTAGCTTCTTTGATCAATTTTTCTGTATCTTTCTTAACGTGTTTCAAAACCGGGTTTGTTGGGCCTCCTGAAATTTCGATAAAACTAAAACAATCCCATCCGCCTTGTTTATCACGAAGTCAAATTCAGGGAATATGGCTTTAACGTTTTTTATGCATTCGGACGTGTACTCTTTGTATACAGATTTGATTGCCTTGAATAATGGAACGATTCGGTCAACAGTATACTTACGTTCTCCAATATCTCGATTTAGAGGTGCTTCACAAGACATTGAAAAACTGTGTTGAAATAATACAAGTTAATAAGTAATATCAAATGGAGTATAGAACATATAGAACAGCATAGCGAACTTTCGACAGGATTGGCTAATTTTTGTAGATCATCTGATTAATTTTTCTGAAATATGATTGGCCAATAAAATAATTCATAATGAAAAAAGACCAATTACCTTTATTGCATCATAAGTATCAAAAAAATTGTAATAATAATATGTAAAAATTTTATAATTGAAACCATATAAATATCTAAAATCAGTTCAATTTACAATTTTATTTAAAAAATTTTTCATATACAAATAATAAATGTTTTTTATTTTGCATTTTGTTTACTACTTTACCTAATTATACATCTACCAAAGTATTTATAGCATTTTAATTTGTAAATCTAAATTACTCTTCACAGGCAAACTGACATTAATATTTGTATTATTGTTAGTTTTCTTATTTTTTGTCTTTTTTATATTGTCTTTATTTTGTTATTAAAGTTTTCTGAATGTTTTGTATTTGTTTTTAATTTTATGTATAAGATAATTAGCACAATATTGACATTAACTCTCTAAAATAAATAAAAAACATTCAAAGTATTAATTGTATTTACAAACTAAAATACAAGAATCTATACAATCTTTCAAATTACAATACTTATTTATTTAAGAAAGATGTATTGTATTCTAAGTTACTGATAAAATTTTTATATTAATTTCAATGTTTAGTATTAGAAGTTTATATAATATAATTTTAAAATTTTTATTAGATAAAATAGGATTTGATTTGTTAATATTTATATATATATTTGTAAAAAGATCTAAGAAGAAAAATGCAGTATAGTAATTATATTATTATTTCTTAAGTATTATATCTAGAGTTTAAAGTCTAATATTATTAAAATTTTAAAAACTTATATGTTATAATTAACTGTCTTTTGTTATTAGTTAGGATAAAATACCTGTTATATGTATTATATTAGCTAACTAAAAGGTTATAAGCATTTATGCAATATATTATTATACAAAAGAACACAAACTAGTACTAATTAGTATAAATTTATGATAAGTTCTTGTAATCATGTAAATTATAGAAACCAAGAAGACAGAAGTCTATTTGAAAAACCTAAGTAGAGAGGTGGCTTAAACTTTTAACAATGTTATTATAAAAATTAGACTTAAAAAATAGTATTAGAACTTATAAAATCAAATAAAGTATTAATTTTCAAAAAAAGGTTATTGTAACTAGTTAGATTGCTAGAACCTTCTAAAAAAAAAATTATATGCCAAAAAACATATAAACTAGAAATATAATTGTGTTTATTTTTTTAGACTATCTAAATTAAGAACTTAATAAAACTTAAATTAAATACTAAAATAATAAAAATATATTATAAAATAAGTACTGAATTTGAGTAAACTTTACAAAAATATAGTGATTTAATAATTAGTTCTAACTATAAGTATTGGTTTAGCAATAATATTACTAAGTTAGTTATAAAAATAGAATATAAAAGATTTTGAAAATTAAATACATATAAAGTTAAAGTTTTTTATATAAGTAAACTGCTTAGTAATTATAATATATTTGTATTAATAATAACTAGGTATTTTGATATATATAGGTAAGTAGATAAATATAAAAACTAAAGTGTTTAAATAAAAAACTTACAAGCAGATTCTAGATATGATAGCTAGTATAGAACCTTTAAATAAACTACTTAAATTAGTCAATAATTAAAATTATATGAGTAATTAGTTGTATACTCTTTTTATAATTGCCTACTATAATTATAATGTAATTATTAGTTGAATGTACTATTAATAAAATTCTAGATTACAAGTATCTTTAGTCTTTGATAAGATAACAAAAAAAATGATTATTCATGTTTAATATAATAATTTATTTTTTTATTTAGTAAGAAAAGTAAGATTGATATAATTTTAACTAATGTTAATGTTTGTAGTAATAGTAAAACTAAAAAATCAGGCTTATGCTAGATTATTTTAAAAGTAAGTTATAGTTTTTTATATATTGCAAAAATAATATTATAATAAATAAAAAAAATATGTTTATACTTATAATTATTATTTTTAAATAATATTAGAATATTATTAGTTATTAGTCTTAGCAATATTTGCTCATTGATGTGATTATAGATAAAGCTTTGAATAAAATTATTTGTATTGTATAAAGATGTTACTAGCTTATTTAAAACTTTTATATTATATTTTATTAAGATTACAAGGTTTAGAAAGTTTTAAAAATATGCTAAAAGATATATAATAGTTTTAAAAGTATTATAATACCTTAAGCAAAAATGATTTAAATATTTTGTAATATTTTTTCAATGACTAAGAAAATAAGTAGATAACTCTTCAAATATTAATTTAATTTTAAAGTTTTTTAGTACTAAAAAAGATAGATTAGTAACTAAAACTAGAAGTTTTTCTCTATATAATATAATATATATTGTAAAGTTAATATTATTTTAAGAAGTAAATCAAACTAATATTTATTGTTAATTAAACCATGCTAGTCAGTTTGTAATTTGATATATTTGTTTTAGTATAGTTTTTATTAGATAGATACAGGAGCTTTCAAGAAGTTTTAAAATAAACTGTTATATAAAAACTTTTAAGATACTAAGTCTAATAAAAATATAATATTTGGAGTTTTTTAAATTTAAAGATTCTTGTTTAAAAATTATTATAAGTGCATAATTATAAGCTAAAGGCTTTAGTATTAGAAGAAGAAAGATATATTATTACTTGTCTAATATCAAGTAGTTATGCAATTAAATAAAATATATAAAGTTAATTAAATTAATAAAAAAAAAAATTGTTTATATATATTTTTATTAAGATACAAAAACTTAAAAAAGTAAGTATAAAGTTCAACAAGATTATTAATATGTTTAAATAAGAAGTTCAAAGATTAGTAAAATATTTAAATATTAAATAAAAGTGTTAAAAATAGTATTTTGCTGCTATTTAAAAATTATTTTTTATATTTTGTTTACTACTTGTTATATAAAATAGTATAGTTTTTGTATTAAAGTTAGTTTTTGTTAGATTGTTCTAGAGTGATATTGGTAGGTTTATGAAAAAGCATAGAGGTCAGATTAGAGTTAAATATATTATTAGGTTGTGAATTTGTAATATTGTAAATAAAATTAAACTTAAAACTTTTTTAAAGTTTTTTAAATTAATATAAATTTTTTTTTTGCAATCTATTTGAAAATTATAAAAAGATTTTGTTACATTAAAATAGCAATATTTGGTATAATATAATGTGTTGTTTAAGTTATATTCTTTATAGATAATTAGAGTATTATTAGATAATAATATATAGTATCAGGTTTTAAGATTTTTGTTAAAAGAATTATAATTTTTTTAAAGATTAAATTGTTTATAATTAATTAACTTTTTTACTAAGAACTCAGTTGGTTAGTATATATAGATTAAAGTATAAGAATATTAAAAATAAATTTAAAAATATAGCTATTAAATTTTATATTATATAAAACTAGTAGAAGCAATAGCTTTATAGTATTTTTTGATATTGTAATAAAAATTATTTAAAATAAAGAATTCAGTATTAGTAGTATTTAGAAATTATTTAATACAATAAATATTGTTTTTGTTTAGTTTTTTTTTTTTTTTTTTTAAATATTAAGGTGAGTACTTGCAACTCAGGATTTTTTTGATAGTACATTCAGCTAATGGTTGCATTACAACCATAGGAGGCAACCATGGAAAGAGTGTACAACTAGCCACTCATACAACTTTAGTTATTGTCTAATTTAAGTAGTCCGCCTGAAGGTTTT